GGCAGCATGCTGGCATGTCAAGAAATACACATTATGCTAGAACAAATATATTTCACTAGATCCATTTAGTCTATTAGTTTTCTTGCACTTATGAAGGTTTAGGTCTGTTTCAGGCTTTCAGCACAATGTATATTGTCAACATTTCAATGTAGATTCTATTGGAATTATAATGTAATAATTGAGTCGTGTTAGTCATGTTAAACTCTTCTCGTAATTTTCCTCTCTTTGCGAACCGTTCCACCTTTTGTCTTGACAGACCTTTCAAGAAATACAAGTTAGAACATTAAATAGTGGAGCAGATGGCTGATGCAAAAAATTCAAAGCTCAATTGTAGAAATCGAACCCGTGGTAGTAAGCCATACAATCGATTGTTAAGATGCTGATATTATTAAGGTCCCAATTACATAAAGCTCCTTTTCTATCTCTACTTGAAACCTCTCCTCTATAATTGTATACCCATACTATCATATCATATGTATTACCATAATACCATAAATCGCCAATGCACTATACCCATATCAGTAATGTATGCAACTGTGTTAGATATATATACCATAGCTATCACATAATGCACCTGTTTGATATCATTCATAATTTATATTTATAACAAAAACGTGATAAAATGTTCCCATCAGAGCATGAATAAAACTAAAAAAGTCTAAATTAATAACTCACAACATGTGCGGAGCACGTAGCCTTCACTAGTATGGTACTAGACATGAAGTCTGTAAGTGCAGTCAATGCCTGAGGAATCCTTGAACTGAATTCAAAGAATGAAACACAACAGTAAACAGTTTAATGTCAATGAATGAGACTAAAGGAGCTTCCTGAACACAGCTTTCATTATTTCTTTTTTCAGTTTTCGTCAAACATTTCACTTTTTTATATGTATCAAGAGTCAAACAGACTCTATCAATTACAACGTCATGAACAATCCCAAAAGCCTAACCCAAATTTAAGGATAACCTAGTCAGGCAACAACTTGGGCACCTCAACAGCATCAATGTGTAAACAACAGAACCTAGCTAATGAAGCGTCAAGAAGAGCCCAAGTCTACTGCATTAGACAACCAAGCCTCCAAAAGCACACTTCAGTAGCCCCTTTACCATATTCAAAGAGGCACCATGAATCATTACAATCCAGAAAGTGATCTCACAGTATATGAGCCCATCTATCAAAGATTTGGCCAAGCATCCATGAACTTTTTACTTTTTAGTCTCATTGAATTAGTAAGACAGTAGGTAGACATCAAGTTTCACTCAAGAGAGTGTATACAAACCGAGATGAGTGCATCGAAGAAAAGAGAAAGAAGAGGTAGTTTAGGGAGGGATTTGGGGTGGGTGGGGATGAGGGTGTGGGAAGTGGTGTATCAAAGAGATGATATGCGAAGGTCCGAGTGAGAGGGTCACATGCATAAAGAGCACAATCCCACTCCTTCCTTAGCAAGTACAAGAGCCATGTCATTAACTTCCCTGTAGGTGTGCAAGCAATGCATTCATTATAGGTTAGAATATCCTCCCAACATCGGCCAAGTGCCATGGGAATCCTAACGGCCCAAAAAGTAAATTGAGTCACCCTCAATAATAGAAGGCAAAACCCTTGTAAACCCTGAACCAGATATGAGCAACAATACATCAGCATAGATAAAGATATCCCTAGCAGGCTTGAGAAGGGCATCAAAGCACTTCCCAGCTATCTCTGGAAACTCCTCCCACACCCACAAGGACTGAACTCCTGAGTTCTCACCAACAAGACTGCACACATGCAAGAGCTTAGGAAATAATCGCACCCCTTATCCTCTTGTAGAGGATCGTGTGGAGCCCAAAGATCATTACGATTACGACTCTTCCAAATATACCTAAAGGATCGCCAGGAGGTAAGAGTTTCCCGAGCAAGCACCCCTTCTGGCATTAACTAAAGGCCCCCACAAAAGAAGGCATGAACCAGCTCACCTAGAAAGGAAGAAACTCCTCAACTGACTAGTAAAGGGGAAATTGAAAGAGGTGGCCAATAATTTCCTCAGTTTCCCAACATTAGTAACCCAATGGGCAAAAAATGTCCTAACATAAGTAAGCTATTTAGGGGAACTAGCAGCCTTGATGATTCAAGTGCTCAAAGAAAAGAACTTCGTCCAATAAAGCGCAAAGGCCCACGAGCAAGCACTCTTGGTGAAGCCAGTATGAACCGTGCCACTCACATAGGACATGCCTTAGTTACCAGGATTTCCAATCATGGGTGGTGATCCCACTCCGGAAATGCTATTCCACACTCCAGGAGAGGGATCGTTCTCCGGTTATCTCATGAAGTCCATTCTAATTGGGGATGGTCAACAAGTCAACACAACTATATTCTTATATTTTAAAAGGAAAACAACAAATAAAGGCAATGAATCAAAAAAGATTTCAATAAACCTACATGTATAAAAAAAGAAAGCAATAATTGTACATCAATAAAAAGCCAGCAATAATTATTCAAATTCATGTTCCATAAAGTTTTCCAAGGGGAAGAGATGTTTAAATTTTTATCAATTATAAAGGGAACACTCTAAATTCAATGCTCACTAAACCGAATTTAATGTAGGGAGGTCCAACTTAAATTCGGTAGGGAATGGCAGGTCCAACTTATGTCACAACTGATTATGGGATTTTTAACCTATCATCGTTTTAGTAAATGTGATACAAAAGTGGAATGATGTCTCTCCCCTGTCTCTCCCTGTTATTTTCTCCCTATATTTTGACATTTAGCTGCTCTCTACCGCATGGCTTTATTTTTGCCTTTTACTTGTTGAAATCAATGAAATATGTGAAGTACATCCTTCATTGTCATAGACAATGTAAGACTAAATAAATATCGTTAGTATATTATTGTGAAGGACTTATAGATGACAAGGCCCAAGTAAATAACTATGAGTCATTACTCACAAGCAGGTTTATTTGTAAGTGTAATATATATATTTCTGGTATAGTTTTTTGATGTTGTTAACTGTTAATATATTTCTAGTATATTAATGGTGCATCTAAATATTATTTAAAAAACTGTAATTAATCATTTACTTTTATTTTTAAATGTGCATTGTACCAATGCTCCCAAACTAGGGAACTCCTTGCAAGCAATAATCATCCGCTCTCGCTCCCACACCCACACCCACTTTCAACAACTATGGCATGGGCCATGTACAATGCTGACATGACAGATGAACGAAAACGAGCTCACCAAGAATGTGTCAAACCTATCGAACGCTTAAATAATCCTAATATCTCAAACAGATCGGGGGATTAACTGATTCTATACAACAACAGTGAAGGAAATCAAGATAGACTCCAGACTGGCCAAAAACTTACATCCAATTAAACTCTCAATCCCTAAGTTTCCTCCTAAATAAGGACACTGCACTTACCCCTAGGCAATTTCTAACAAGCAAGATTCAATGGCCGACCTACCAACACAGTTGGAAAGAGTGATAGCAGAAAAGCCTCCTACACCACATGTCAAACCAAAAGGGAACTTGTTTTCTTGTTCTGAACATGAAACCCCACCAATTGGAATTCATCCAATGAATTCATCTCCTTAATTGTTCCATAGTGGATCCTGGAAGCACCCCATCTCGCAATGATTACCGCATGTTAATATAATGCTAAATAAAGCAAGGGCTACTTGTTTAGCTCACGTAAAAAAAAAAACTTCAGCACCCCCGTCACAGCATAGCGTACAATTGTTGGATGCCTTCGTGAAATGCCTATGCTGATCAAATCTTAATAATGAACAAATGATCAGATGCCTCTTCACACAGACACGCACACACGCGTGCATACACGCACATGCATGCATGCATATACATATATATATAGACACACACACATAGACACACAAAGACACGCATTCACATGTCGGATAATGGAATAGTGTCTAGAAGCATGGCTTCTGTTGCTCACCATCAGCACAACAACAGCTCATCTCCACTCCAAAAAAAAAAGAGAGAAAGAAAGAAGTGGCTCATATCCACAATTCATCGGTGAGGATGACTTGCCTATGGACCATATATTGTCACACAGGACAACTTGTACAGTACACAAAAGGTAACAGAATTCCACTCATTTAGTTCTTCGATAAATAAAAACAAATGTTTCCCAAGATAACTAGCAGTCCTACCAAACTTGGCAAGAATGCGACCTTCCATTGAGATGATGAAAACCCCATAAAAAGAGGACAAAAATGTCAGACACCATTATGTACTATCCACTTAGGGATTTCGAATAGCTCAAAGTTTGTGGGATGATGCTTGACAATCCACACTCAAGCTGTCCTCATGGGAACGTGATGGGATTAATGTAGCAGGTACAGCTATCTAGTGCAAATCCCTAGGTGGTCTTCTACTATAATGCAAACCCCAAGGTTATCTTTTGGATAGTGACAGCAAACCTTGTCTATGCAAGTTTCCATTGATTTTCAATTCACCAAAATTTCATGGGAATACGATCATTTCATCTCTGGGCATGTATAATTCTACTATTTTCTTCTGATAATTGCATAAAGTATTTTAGGACATCAATGTGACAACATCTTTAATCTATGAAGACTTATGCAACTGACATTTCAGGTAAGTAACACGACATCAATTGTCATAGTTATTCATATTTCTCTTATTATTACCTAGTACCATTCATTTATTTTTCGTGTTTCTTCATGCAGCGTATTCAGTAAAAGCAAACTATATCCACAACATCTTTCTTTCTTTTTAAGAACCACGTTATCACATGATAGTCCATGTTTTCCGGTATGTGTTTAATTGGTTTGTGAATACCAATGTCGATCATGAACCATGCCAGCCGATATCTGGTACGTCTGCTCTTACCACAGAACAATTTAAATGCACAATTATGGATAATCTTGATATTTTGAACAAAACAAATTCTCATATCTAATCAAGAGGAAAGGGAATCCAACTGAAAGACATAAACAAGGGAAAGCAAGAGAGAGAGAGAGGGATCAACAACAGATACCTTCGCCAGCCGCCGCTAGCAAAGCCACCATCTTCGACATTGTCTTTCTCAGGCAAGACATCCACTATAGAAGAATCAGTAGTGCTATTATTCGTATCCACCATCATCTTTCTGGCTCCCGTAAACTTACAACACAGAGGATACTTCAATCCTGGCCGTGCATTCACTCCCCCACTAAAACCCCACAATCGCCCCTCTCTTCCGAGAAGACTCACAGATGCTCCAGCTCGAAAAAAAGCAGCCCTCAGGCCAAAGTTGCATACCATCTAACTAAATCAGTTAAAGATAACAGATTACCAAAGAAACACACTTTATTTTATTGATTCACCTTCTAATACTCAGCTTTTGAAGCCTTAGCATGAAGAAAAAAACCAACCCTTGTCGATCGATTGTGAAGGCCAGGCCGGTGATACGTCACAAAGAAGTGAATTTTTTTTCAACCTCTGAAATTGATGGGTCCCAAACCGATAACCATGATCAGATCTAGTTTGTGACTGAAGAATTCCACTATATAGTTACCAAGTAATTCCCTGCAACGATCTTCTAATTGCAAAAATATTCAATCTTTAAACTAGTTGACCTACCAAGACTATTGAATCAATTCACACCGATGCAACAAACTATTGAATTAATTCAAGCCTATGCAACAACACATAATCACATCCTCTTAAAGCCAATTGAGAACCCAAAAAATAAAAATCTCATCTCTTCAACAACCTAACCTCCTCAAACAAATAAGAGCCACCAATCCCACGCCGAAAAGATCAGAAACCTAGAACAAAATCCAGGCAGGCCTCTTCAATAAACATTATTTATTTATAATCACACGTTTAAGAACCACGGATAATCCAGCAAAACCTGCTAAAAAAGGAAATGGTGGTGGTCCTTTACAGAGACAGATCTAGCAAGAGAGAAGAAATTATTTTTATGGAATGGCCTAAGATTGATTGATTATGATACAAAAAATCATCAGGTCCCAAATATAAAAAGGAGAGCAAAAGAAGCTATGGGGCTGCACATAAATATAGAGAAATAATATGATGGATGAAGAGGAAGAATGACATTATAAAATGGTAGAGCGGGTGGGCTTTGGCATCCTGAACAAGTGGCCACGTGGCACGCACATGCACATAGCTGCTGCCACTTACTCCGTTTTCCCTTCACAGTGGACGGGATTTCCGAATGTCATCGTTTCAGCCGAAATTTCGCTGGGATTGGACGCATCATACTGTGCTCATTTTCTATACATTGCATAACTGCTCATATAAGATGCCTACACCTCAAAAATCCTCTAGAGACTATTTTGAGGTTAGAAAGTCATTTAATTTTATCATCTCGACCACAGAATTCATAAATGTGAAGTACTAAAAATAATACATGCTGTAACAAATTATTTAAACCTTCTATTTTTTAAGAATTTCTAATGTTTATGGATATGCCAATTTGTTATATTTTTATAGTTTTAAATTTAATAACTAAGGATAAAGATAGGCTTTCAAGCTATCATAATGTTTCCTACACTAGAACTCCATCTCTAAATAAAATTTAGAGGTGCACTTTTAATCTAGGAAAAAGTTTATACAAGGATGCAACCTTAAAATGTAGAATTACATATGCACCTCAAAAATCTATCAAAAATAGTTATTTTAATGTTGTAAAACTCTCAAATTGATCATCTCGATATCGAGATGTATGAATATGAAAAAAAAAAAAAGATTTTGAGTCTTAGAAATAGTGCATCTTGCAACACAATATCTAGACCGTCCATTTTCAAGATTTTCATATGTTTATAGATCTACTTGATGTTAACCATTTTTTGGGTTTCAAATTTTTATAATTAGATATAAAAATATATTTTCAGATAATCCTAATAATTTTTTACACCAAAATTAAATGTTATGATAAAATTTGGAAGTACACCAAAATTA